AAGCAGCAGTTGAGTAACTGATGTGTGGCGCCCTCTGCAGGGAGCTCACAGCACAAGCGGCGCAGACAACGAGTACAACCTGCGCAGCCGCAAGGTGATGTGCGACTCCTGCGGGCAGCCGAAGGAGCGCGGCGGTGGTTGCGGCAGTCTAGCTGAAGGCCTCCCAGGACATTCCTACTTCATGGGCACCAATGAGCCCAGACAGGTACTCCACAGTCAAAACATCCCTGCAGTAATTATACAGCATCATTAATAACTGTGTTTTAGGATAAAAGCGTATAATATTTGGTTCTATTAGTGATTAAAATTGTTGGCGGCGACTGTGCACAGAAAACGGACAACATGTGTGGGTTTTTTTGCTTATTCATCTATAAATTTAGAGTTTCCTGTTGCACAATAATGCCCAGATGTTCCACATGTTTTGGAGTGCTGTACTGTAAGACGTTTAAGCATCTGAAACAGACTTTTGGCGTGTGGCATCTGCAGTTAATTTAATTACTAATCAACAAAATTGGGGTTTAAATGGGATCCAAGATCGCAAATACTCCCTCTCTGTATTTCCTGAGAACTGTTTTATGATACAAAGTGCAGTTTAGAGTCGCAGAAAAGTTTTGGTTTGCGCTGCATTTCGACAGATTCCCAAACATCAAACATGAGCAAAAAAACTGTTACTTTTAACTTTGCAGACGTGGAATTATTATTAGGTGCAAAAACATAAATGATGATCACAGAAACAGCAAACACTGAAGTGATGAGAAACAACAGGATATGTGTGGATTTGCTCATGATGGTGCTCAGAGCAGCAGAATCCTAGATGCAGGTAGGAGGTGGTGTTGGTGGTGGAGCAGAGTGAGCTTATGGAGACTTTGAACAAGCATCAATCTGTATCAATCTCTCTGTTACTCTAGATCAGGGGTGGGCAACTCCAGGCCTTGAGGGCCGGTGTCCTGCAGGTTTTAGATGTGTCCTTGATCCAACACAGCTGATTTAAAGGCTAAATGACCTCCTCAACATGCCTTGAAGTTCTCCAGAGCCCTGATAATGAACTAATCATTTGATTCAGGTGTGTTGACACAGGGTGAGATCTAAAACCTGCAGGACACCGGCCCTCGAGGCCTGGAAATGCCCACCCCTGCTGAATGATGAACACAAGTCCTCCACCACTTCAGGGCTGAACAAACGGCTTCTTTCATTTCACTTTTAACGGTTGTTTCCCCCAATTTACCAAAAGCTTCAGAAGATAATGTAGCAAGAGGCGAAACCCAAATCTGATTTAAACTGAGACACGTAGCTTTTAAAAAAAGGACATTTCTAAAGTTCAGCTGCACAATTTCAGTCCAGAAACACGGCGCTCGTTTTCCCCACAGCTCCCATTTTAACGCCTCGTAAAGACTCGCTAACGATAAAAAGTCGCCTTTATTAATCTGTATTCTAAGCATCAGGACCGCAAATGAAGCATTTGGTGTCGAATTACACAAATAAACAAAAATCAAACATTGCTGTCGTCTCCTCCTCAGGGCCGCATGAAGCCGGAGAACTGCTCCGTCATGTAAAAAGCAGACAGCACCTCACCTGAACCCAGCACCTCCTGCAGCCCACAGGGGAGAATGATTTTTCTACCGTCGGGATGTTTGTCTTTATTTTTTTATACGATTGTGTCTTATTTTGTATTCAGATTATTCTGCGGGTTAGATTTGCTTTGAGGTTTTTTGGCAGAGGGCGAAGGATTTTCACATATAGCTTTCAAGTTTGTATATTCAGCTTATTTTACTGCATGTTTGCTGTTTGCTGTTTGCTCGTGCTGTTCTCCGCTCTGCTTGCACACACACACACACACACACACACACACACACGCACGCGCGCACACACACAGCTCCAGTGACCAGGGCTTGTGCTTCGATCCGAGACGGGGTTTCACATTTAATGGCCAGGCTGTCAACACTCAACACGCACAGCTAGTGGACCCTATCAGGCGTACAGGCGAGAGGAGGACGGCTCCTCTGGAGTTTGTTAATCATGTTTGTTTCCCATCAAACAGATCAATTCTTTATTTAAAGCCAATGTTTACAACTAAAAACATTTTTTGGAGCAGTGTTGTGCTATATTTATGGATAAAATATGGTAGGAAAAGTCTCCAGAGAAAGCCAAAGCGATGTAAGCTCAGGGTTTTTTGTTTGTTTTTTTCACCTTAGCCTTAAACAAACGGGGTGATGATATGTTTTCTATGTGATGCTGTCGGGCAGCTGTGGTGCACACAGAGAAAATGAGTATTTGAGATGAATATATGTACACGGCTCGCTCCCCAACGAATGTATTCATTATGTTTTTGGAATGTTTAAAGAAATAAGGGAATTATTGGGTAATGTGTCTGGTTAAGTGCGTTTAATCACAATGGGAGAGGTTTATTTTGTACCTGGGGGGATGTCAGCAGACTGTTTTTTGATAGATTGGGTGCCATATATAGAGAGTATATATTAATAGGCTCTGTTTCTATTTGCAGTAGATTTTGGACATGACTGTTTAACCGATTAGAAATACAGATGTGCCTTCAGAGGCAACATCTGCAGTTTGTTTTTCCTGCTCACATGCTTCATACGGGAGTCTTGTGACCGTCAGCTGTCCTCCGATCCGTTTGCTCCTAAAAGCTGGTCATAAGGGCTTTGAATTTTCTTTCTTTCCTCTAAGCTTTACCGACTTTGCAAATCCCTGGATCTGATTTTGGGACCTCGGTCAGATTGAGGGGTTTGTGTGACTTTGTAGCTTTGGCTTCACGCGCTGCTTTTTGCCAGTTATGCACAGCAGGTAGATTTGTAGTCTAGTCTGGCAGCTTAACTCATTTATACTCCAGTGGAAAGCATATCAAAGCATTTGTGGAAGATACTTGATAGCTGTCGTGGTATTGTTTTTGTGTGGGTTTTTTCTTTTTATACTTAAAAAAAAAAAAAGAAGCAATTTCTGCAAAGTTTAATTTTTTTTTTTAATTTTTCGGCCACAAAAGGACAGTTCACCCCTAAAATGAAACTTGTGTCCTCTGCCCTTTAATGCTGTCTTGGTGTTTCCAGGTTTGCAGACGGCTGCAGAGATGTCCGCCTTCTCGTTAATATAACGCAACTCATGTTGTGGTGCTCAGAGTACTGGAAAATGCATTTGAACAAACCAGAAATCATGACCTTGTTACTCCAAAAAATCTCCAGACCTTTTATGAGCAGTTTCTTGTAGGAACGACTTTCTTTCTAACTTCATCCACCAACCGAAAGTAGCGTGTAGCTAGCTGACACGAGCTGCTCGTCAGTGGAAGATGCAGTGTTTCTTCAGAGTGATGAAACCAGATGTAGTGTCGTGCAAAGAAAGAACTTCCTGTATCAAACTGCTCAGTAGGATGACCCGGTCATGATTTTTGGAAACATTGATGCTGAATTTTCAAATGTTTTTTGGCACTTTTAATTTCAACATATTGAAGAGAAGTCTGATATCTCTTCACAACTGGGCTAGATGCACAGAAAAGCTACAGGCAGGAGAAAAACAAATATGTAAACCGAACTATGGTTTGAATTTTAGGTAGTTTGATGCTCAGAGTGTCTCACGAAGTCGCTGACAATCAGAGAAATGACGTCTACAGTATAAATGTGTATTAACAGAAATCTTGTAGTTGTCAAATGTCTACATGTAAAGTGATGAGAAATGATAACTGTAGTGCTTCAGATCAGGTCATGGAAACGTCAGGGGTGTAATTAAGAAGCAGAGTAACAAGGACTCACTACAACCACAGATGCACAAACACGCTGTGAGGTCTTTGTAAACTTCCTCGAGTCCTGGTGGAGATCTCATGAATCCTTTGAAGTGCTTGAGATTTAAAGATATCACCCAAAGCCATTAATGTTAAAGGTTCTTGAAATGAGATTTGTTTGAGATCATGAAATCATTAAAACCACACTTTGATGCAATTTTATTTTCTAAAGCGATGCTGAGTAAAAAGTATTTTTTCCAATGAGTGACGGTTGTGATTATTTCCTCGTTATTGAAAAATGTCGAGTCCATGAAAAGTGCAGAGTTTTTATTTACATCATACAAACACATGTTCCCAGGATTACATTCAAAAATAAATGACTGCACAATATTGTAGCACTAAAAGCACGACGTACATTCTGTTGGGCTTCTGTTAACAACTTGACGGGAAAATGAACTTCACAGGTCAATATTTTTACATTAATACACCAATTTCAGTATTTCGGAACCACAACACAATCAGGACTACAGTCTGCTCCCCACTAATTTTAGCCAATCAAATTACATTTCCACTCTCATCATAAATGATTTTATATAGGGACTAACTTGACAAAAAGTAGTTCCACTGAAACCTGTTGGTGGTGCGGTCAGGGTGAAGGGAGACGTCTTAAGACTGGGTGTGAGCTGTTGCATATTTGGACAAATACTCTGTAAACTGCAGCAGAGGAGGCCGCGTGACGCTGTGGAGCCACAGTTTTGTCCAGCGATGGAGACGATGGAGCTCAGGCCTTCTGTCTGACCCACAATCTGCAGTAACCCAACCTTCCCAATGCTTAATGTTTTGTCCTTAAAATTTTGGATTCACTTCAAAGGCAGCCGTCAAGTCATCAATCACTATGCACAACCCACTCATAGTAGGGTAACGTCCATAACCTAAATATGACTGTAAAATCTACAGACGATGAGCTCTGGTGCCCAGCATGTTGAGGTTTCCATTTCTAGTCCTCTTGAAGTTGTATTGACCAATCATGTTTGAGCAAGCTGTGCTTCAATTACAATAAACAGTCAACGAACTAATTCCCCAAAATGCAGCCTCATAAATCTGTCAGCCAGCAACACATTTAGTTTTTTTTATTATCTTTGTCTTTGCATGTGTAAAAAATGAGCAGCAGAAGACCTGGCCTGAGTATCTGTCGGCTATCCTTCAAAAGGCGATCCATTCAGACAGATTGCATTATGGGTAACACAGGCACCAGGTCTAAAAAAACAAACGGAAACATAATAAAATCTTTGTGTTTTGGGTGAAATGGCCCTTTAATTGTGACAAAAAGAGGCACTGCACTGATGGCTTTATCATAATATCTGTGCCCAAACTCACACTGACCTTTAACATCTATTAATATATACACAAGAAGTTCATAAGGTGTCCTATGAGACCCATAACAGCATATTTATTTGAACAGAAGAGCTGCGCTTCAACAATACTGAGAGGCTGACAATATATTCATTTCTATATTTACAGTTTTCTTCAGACAGCAGCAATAAGCCACATTTCCTTAAAGAAACACACTTCAGTCCTTAAATGGCATTTATTTGTTGAAAAAACACTACATGAACTTTTGTAAAATGCTGCTCACTTTGGCTTCCAGGTGTTAAAAAAGAAAAATCTTTGGTATTTTTTCTGTTTATAAAATATGGTTTGTCATAAGACATTTTTTTTCAGCTGAAGCTGCCTTTAAAAAAAAAAAAAAAAGTAATGCACTGAAATTCAACTCGAAATAAAAACCCTGAAAAGGAGACGAGACGAAGGAAAAATCGAGCTCTGATAAAAGAGACCCGTTAAAAATGCATCAGCAGCACGCAAAGGGTGTGGAAAACAAATATTTCAGCATGTTTACAAGAGTTCAAACACACAAACATTCCCAAGTCGCTGCTTGTAGCCATCAAATCCTCTGGTGGGTTTTGCCCTCGGGAGTTAAAAGCAGCTGAAGCCCCGCAGGCGTCACCACACAGCCTGCTGGCTCCTCAGTCTGGATGACAGGTCTGTGACGGAGACGCCAGTACCGCTCTGCGCACACAAGGGGGCGGTGTTTAGTTGAAAGCAAAGCATCCACTGTAAACAAAGGTTCGTCTGGCAGGACGGACTCCTCGCCCCTGTTCTGTTGGTGGTCTGCAGCTCTGATTTTCAGAGATAAAATTAGCCGTTTCTTCATCAACCCCGGAGCGAGCAGAAGGGAACGATTTGCTCTGCTGCTCTGACGCTGTCACTGAGGGCTTCTCCTAGGCGAGGGGGGGCGGCGCACCGGTGGCAGGTCGTAGTGTCCCGGGATGTGGCTGTTCACCGGGAGGTCGTAGTGGCTCTGTGGGTCCTCATGAGCAGTGTGGCCGTGGGAGCTCTGACACTCTGAGGGGAAAAAGAACTCGCCGTGAGGACCAAACACGCTGCCATTTTTTATTTTAGTGCTGGAAAACATGCTGACTCTATTTTTTAAATAAAAACCCATCTGTGCATTCAGTCCTGCTGCTTTGGACTTGACTGGATGAGTTGGTTTGGCGTTACAGTCTGAGCTCACTCTGCGCTCGGTGTTTAATTCAACTTGTTGAACTCGCTCCTAAATAAAGCTTTTTAAAAGCCCACACACTCCAGGCTGGAAAAGCGTGCATTCACCCTCCGTTTACATTTAAATAACATCATCTATAAATCGTTTAATAAGAGTCTCGCTCTCAGATGTGGGCACCCTGAACCAGGATATTAGCAAATAAACTAAAAACATCAGTAACAAACAGCAGTGTCGCATAATCACGTCAATGTCATGCCATGAAGTGGAAACACCTCCCCGTCTTTACTCTTTACTGCTCCTTTTATGTTTATAAACCCTTTATTACACGAAGTGTGTATTTTCTCTAAATGACTCATTTTCTTAGTCATTGTGTTCTGGATCCATGCCAGAGTATTTAAACACATTAAAGACAATTTGATTGGTAATTTCGTTTATTACGACATGCATACTTATTGTAGAATATACTGCAGAAGAAGTCAATGCTCAGAATCCATCTCATCTACAATCGTTTGTATTCAGCTGCAAAATGTGCTGACGCTAAAAGTTTTTCCAAGCTTAATTTTCAACATCAATTTAAGTTAAATTAGGCTAGACTGGATTTGTTTGCACTTTGCTTTTCTTCATTTCAAGTCTTGTCTGGATGTTAAAAACCAGCTACAAATGTTGCAGTCATACAGAGAAGAGAATCAGTGATTTAAACAACAGTTTGTGCAGAGCGGCACAAAGCTGGCTCTGTCATTACAGCCACAGTCTTCTGTTTCAGGTAGAGTGGATGCAAATTGCAGTGATTTGTCCAAGAAAAAAAGACTGGACTCAATCCAATATGTGGATGAATGTAAGGATTTGATCCCGCAGACCTACACTTCATTCCTCTGACTGCATATTGATGCATTACTAGTGTCCACAATACAATAAAAGCTAGGATCCTTCGGCTTCCTGTTTTCCCCTCTCCTCTCCCCTGCCCTTCCTCTTCCTTTAGTCTTTTATTTGTGGCAAACAGATGTTGATTCATCAGTCCATGACCTGAGGAAGTCTGGCCAGCCCAGCTGTCTAACAGACCACAGACCTGTTTTAAGGTTTGACTGATAAGGACCTTAAAAGAGTTGCTATTTTGTTTTTTCTCCCAAAG